TTGAACTAATTTACACTCCCACCAACAGTGTAAAAGTATTCCTATTTCTTCACATCCTCTCCAGCATCTGTTGTCTCCAGATTTTTTAATGATTGCCATTCTAACTGGCATGAGATGGTATCTCAATGTGGTTTTGATTTGCATTTCTCTAATGACCAGTGATGATGAGCATTTTTTCATATGTTTGTTGGCCATGTAAATGTCTTTTATTGAAAAATGTCTTCATATCCTTTGCCCACTTTTTGATGGGGTTGTGTGTTTTTTTCTTGTAGATCTGCTTTAGTTCTTTATAGACTCTGGATAGTAGCCCTTTGTCAGATGGGTAGATTGCAAAATTTTCCCCCATTCTGTTGGTTGTTGGTTCACTCTAATGATTGTTTCTTTTGCTGTGCAGAAATTCTTAAGTGTAATTAGATCCCATTTGTCTATTTTGGCTTTTGTTGCCAGTGCTTTTGGTGTTTTAGTCATGAAGTCCTTGCCTATACCTATGTCCTGAATGGTATTGCCTAGGTTTTCTTCTAGGGTTTTTATGGTGTTAGGTTTTATGTTTAAATCTTTAATCCATTTGGAGTTAATTTTAGTGTAAGGTGTAAGGAAGGGGTCCAGTTAAGCTATCTGTACATGGCTAACCAGTTTCCCAACACCATTTATTGAACAGGGAATCCTTTCCCCATTGCCTGTTTTTGTCAGTTTTGTCAAAGATCAGATGGTTGTAGATGTGTGGCGTTGCTCCCAGAACCTCTGTTCTGTTCCGTTGGTCTATATCTCTGTTTTGGTACCAGTACCATGCTGTTTTGATACCAGTACCATGCTGTTTTGATTACTGTAGCCTTGTAGAATAATTTGAAGTCAGGTAGCATGATGCCTCCAGCTTTGTTCTTTTTGTTTAGTATTGTCTTGGATATGTGGGCTCTCTTTTGGTTCTATATGAAGTTTAAAGTGTTTTTTCCAGTTCTGTGAAGAAGGTCGATGGTAGCTAAAGTTACTTATCAGCTTAAGAAGGTTTTGGGTTGAGATCATTCTAAATATACGATCATGTCGTCTGCAAATAGAGACAATTTGACTTCCTCTTTTCCTAATTGAATACTCTTTATTTCTTTTTCTTGCCTCATTGCTCTGGCTAGAACTTCCAATACTATACTGAATAGGAGTTGTGAGAGAGGGCATCTTTGTCTAGTGCTAGATTTCAAAGGGATTGTTTCCAGTTTTTTCCCATTCAATATGATATTGGCTGTGGGTTTGTCATAAATAACTTTTATTATTTTGAGATATGTTCCATCAGTACCTAGTTTATTGAGGGTTTTTTTAGCATAAAGGCTGCTGAATTTTGTTGAAGGCCTTCTCTGTATCTATTAAGATAATCATGTGGTTTTTGTCTTTGGTTCTGCTTATGTGATGGATTACGTTTATAGATTTGTATATGTCAAACCAGACTTGCATCCCCGGGATGAAGCCTACTTGATCATGGTGGATAAGCTTTTTGATGTGCTGTTGCATTCGGTTTGTGAGTATTTTATTGAAGATTTTTGCGTCTATGTTCATCATGGATATTGGCCTGAGGTTTTCTTTTTTTGTTGAGTCCCTGCTGGGTTTTGGTATCAGGATGATGTTGGTTTCACAAAATGATTTGGGAAGGATTCCCTCTTTTTGGATTGTTTGGAATAGTTTCAGAAGGAGTGGTACCAGCTCCTCTTTGTATGTCTGGTAGAATTCAGCTATGAACCCATCTGGACCTGGACATTTTTTGGTTGGTAGGCTATTAATTGCTGCCTCAACTTCAGACCTTGTTATTGGTCTATTCAGGGTTTCAACTTCTTCATGGTTTAGTCTTGGGAGGGTGCAAGTGTGCAGGAATGTATCCATTTCTTCCAGATTTACTGGTTTATGTGCATAGAGCTGTTTGTAGTATTCTCTAAAGGTAGTTTGTATTTCTGTGGAATTGGTGATGATCTCCCCTTTATCATTTTTTATTGCATCTATTCAATTATCTCTTCTTTTTTATTAGTCTGGCTATTTTGTTGATCTTTTCAAAAAACCAGCTCCTGGATTTATTGATATTTTGAAGGGTTTTTTGTGTCTCTATCTCCTTCAGTTCTGCTCTGATCTTAGTTATTTCTTGTCTTCTGCTTGCTTTTGAGTTTTTTTGATCTTGCTCCTCTAGCTCTTTCAATTTTGATGATAAGTTATTGATTTTAGATCTTTCCTTGCTTCTCATGTGGGCATTTATTGCTATAAATTTCCCTCTAGGCTCTCCTTTAAATGTGTCCCAGAGATTGTGGTATGTTGTGTCTTTGTTCTCATTGGTTTCAAAGAACATTTTTATTTCTGCCTTCATTTCATTGTTTATTCCTTTTCAGATGCAAGTTGTTCAGTTTCCATGTAGTTGTGTGGTTTTGAGTGAGTTTCTTAATCCTGAGTTCTAATTTGATTGCACTGTGGTCTGAGAGACTGTTATGATTTCCGTTCTTTTGCATTTGCTGAGAGTGATTTACTTCCAATTATGTGGCCACTTTTAGAGGAAAGTGTGATGTGGTGCTGAGAAGAATGTTGTTGGCCACTTTTATGTCTTCTTTTGGAAAGTGTCTATTCATGTCTTTTGCCTGTCTTTTAAAGAGAATGTTTTTTGCTGGTTGAATTTAAGTTACTTACAATTCTGGATATTGTTGTATAGAAATACAAAGTTTGTGTTGTGTGTGTGTATTGTGTATTGTGTGTGTGTTGGTTATTGTTGTATAGAAATGCTACTGATTTTTGTAAATTAATTTTGTATCCTGAAACTTTACAGAGGTCATTTATCAGTTTTAGGAGCCTTTTGGTAAAGTCTTTAGAGTTTTCTAGCTATATAATCATATCATCAGTGAAGAAAGATAATTTGACTTTTTTACTTTACTTTTTAAAATTTCCCTAGGTTATTGGGGAACAGGTAATGTTTGTTACATGAGTAAGTTCTTTAGCGGTGATCTGTGAGATTTTAGTGCACCCATCACCTGAGCAGTATACACTGCACCCTATTTGTAGTCTTTTATCACTCACCCCCTTTCCACCCTTTCCCTTTGAGTCCCCAAAGTTTATTGTGTCATTCTTATGCCTTTGCTTCCTCATAGCTTAACTCCCACTTACGAGTGAGAACATATGATATTTGGTTTTCCACTCCTGAGTTACTTCACTTAGAATAATAGTCTCTAATCTCACCCAGGTCACTATGAATGCCATTAATTAATTCCTTTTTACGGCTGGGTAGTATTCCATTGCATCTATACATCACAGTTTCTTTATCCAGTCATTGATTGATGGGCATTTGGTTTGGTTCCATGTTTTTGCAATTGTGAATTATGCTGCTATAAACATGCATATGCAAGCATCTTTTTCATATAATGACTTCTTTTCCGCTGGGTAGATACCCAGTAGTGGGATTACTGGATCAAATGGTAGTTCTAATTTTAGTTCTTTAAGGAATCTCCACACTGTTTTCCATAGTGGTTGTACTAGTTTACATTCCCACTGCTGTTCACCATATCCATGCCAACATCTACTATTTTTTGATTATAGCCATTTTAGCACGAGTAAGATGACAAATTGCATTGTGGTTTTGATTTGCAAGTCCCTGATCAGTAGTGATGCTGAGCATTTTTTCATGTTTGCCGGCCACTTCTATATCTTCTTTTGAGAATTGTCTATTCATGTCCTTAGCTCACTTTTTGATGGGATTGGTTTTTTCTTGTTGATTTGTTTAAATTCATTGTAGATTCTGGATATTAGTCTTTTGTCAGATGTATAAATGGTGAAGATTTATTTCCATTCTGTGGGTTGTCTGTTTACTGTCTGTTCCTTTTAAGTCTCAGCTATTTATCTTTGTTTTTATTGCATTTGCTTTTGGGTTCTTCGTAATGAAATCTTTGCCTAAGCCAATGTCTAGAAGAATTTTTCCAATGTTATCTTTTAGAATTTTTATAGTTTCAGGTTTTAGATTTAAGTTCTTAATCCATCTTGAATTGATTTTTGTATAAAGTGAGAGAGGAGGATCCAGTTTCTTTCTCCTACATGTGGCTTGCCAATTGTCCCAGCACCATTTGTTGAAACGGGCATCCTTTCCCCACTTTATGTTTTTGTTTGCTTTGAAGATCAGTTGCCTGTAAGTATTTGGGTTTATTTCTGGGTTCTCTATTCTGTTCCATTGGTCTATGTGCCTATTTTTATACCAGTACCATGCTATTTTGGTGACTATGGCCTTATAGTATAGTTTGAAATCAGGTAATGTGATGCCTCCAGATTAGTTCTTTTTGCATAGGCTTGCTTTGGCTATGAGGACTCTCTTTTGGTTCCATATGGATTTTAGAATTGTTTTTTCTAATTCTGTGAGGAATTATGGTGGTATTTTGATGGGAATTGCACTGAATTTGTAGATGGCTTTTGGCAGACATTCAAAGAATAATTGGTACCAATCCTACTGACACTATTCTACAAGATACAGAAGGAGGTGTCCCTCACTAAATGATCCTATGAAGCCTGTTTTTGGTATTAGGGTGATAGTGGTTTCATAGAATTATTTAGGGAAGGATCCCTCTTTCTCTATCTTATAGAATAGTGTCAATAGAATTGGTGCCAATTCTTCTTTGAATGTCTGGTAGAAATCTGCTGTGAATCTGTCTGGTCCTGGACTTTTTTTGTTGCTGTTGGTAATTTTTAAATTACCATTTCAATCTGCTTGTTATTGGTCTGTTCAGGGTATCTAATTCGTTCTGATTTAAGCTAGAGGGTTGTATCTTTCCAAGAATTTATCCATCTCTTCTAGGTTTTCTATTTTATGTGTGTAAAGATGTTCATACTAACCTTGAATGATCTTTTTTTTTCCCCTGTGGTGTCAGTTGTAATATCTCCCATTTCATGTCTTACTGAGCTTATTTGGATTTTCTCTCCTTTTCTTGGTTAATCTTGCTAATGGTCTATCAGTTTTATTTATCTTTTCAAAGAACCAGCATTTTGTTTGATTTATCTTTTTTTTTCAGGCTTTATTCACTTTATTTTTCTTGTATAAAAACCCTATGTTATAGCCACAGCTGGAGCTTGGGTCCTCTGCACAGAGACTCTGGTGTGGGTCTTGACGAGGTGGTCAGCGAATTATTTTTAGGGAGACTTGGTGAATACAGTCTCCTTCCAGAGACTGGGAGTCAAGTAGCTGTAGGTCTTAGAGATGGCATCAAGGATGACCTGGCTGAAGTTGCCCAGGGTGGCAGTGTAGCCCTTGGCTGAGCTGTGGCAGTCATTGATACCAGCCATCATCGTCAGTTTCATGAGTACAGGGGCTGAGACAATGCCAGTGCCCCAGGGCACAGGGATGAGGTCACCAGCACAGAGCTGCAGTGGCCTGTCATCTTGCAAGGGATGGTATGGGGCTTTCCAAACTTGTTACCCCAGTAGCCTCTACTCATGGGGACAATGGAGAGCTTGGCCAGGATCATGGCTCTGCAGATAGCAGTGACCACTACCTTGGAACACTTAACACCCAGACCAATGTGGCCATTGTAGTACCCAATGGCAACAAATGCCTTGAACCTGGTGTGCTGGCCTGCATGGGTCTGCTTCTGCACCGGCATAGTATTCAAAACCTCATCCTTAAGAGAGGTCCCCAGGAAAAAGCCAATGATCTCAGACTCCTTGATGGGCAGGGAGAAGAGATAGATCTCTTCCAGGGACTTCATCTTCATGTCCTTGACCAGGCGGCCTAGCTTGGTGAAGGGCATCCACTCCTTGTCTTTGCTTTGCCTTGCATGGCTGCAACCCTGGCCCTGGATGCTACTGCCAGAGCCTCCCTGGAAGCCACCACTGTTCCCCATCTCAGGGCCCCATGGGACCTCTTCCCCCACCTCCCCCTGTGCTGCACCAGCATAATCTACCATTTGGTGTTATCTTGGAGAAGCTGATTTATCTTTGTATTTCTGTTTGTTTGTTTGTTTCAATTTCATTTAATTCTGTTCTGCTCTTGGTTAATTCCTTTCTTCTGCTGGGTTTGGGTTTGGTTTGTTCTTGTTTTTCTAGTTCCTTGAGGTATGACCTTAAATTATTTGTTTGTGCTCTTTCAGCCTTTTTGATGTAGGCATATAGGGCTATGAAGAAATCCTCTTAGCACTGCCTTTGCTGTGTCCCAGCGGTTTCAATAAGTTGTGTCACTATCGTCATTCATATCAAAGAATTTTTTAATGTTCATTTTGATTTCATTTTTGACCTAATGATCATTCAGAAACAGATTATTTAATTTCCATGTATTTGCTTGATTTTGAAGGTTCCTTTTGGAGTTGATTTCCAGTTTTATTCCACTGTGGTCTGAGAGAGTGCTTGGTATAATTTCAATTTTCTTAAATTTATTGAGGCTTGTTTTGTGGCCTATCATATGGTCTATCCTGGAGAAAGTTCCATGTGCTGTTGAAGAGAATGTATATTCTGTGGTTGTTGGGTAGAATGTTCTGTAAATATCTGTTAAGTCCATTTGTCCCAGGGTATAGTTTTAAATCCATTGTCTCTTTGTCGACTCTCTGGCTTGATGACCTGTCTAGTGCTGTCAGTGGAGTATTGAGGTCTCCCACTATTATTGTGTTGCTGTCTATCTCATTTCTTAGGTCTATTAGTAATCATTTTATAAATTTGGGAGCTCCAGTGTTAGGTGCATATATATTTAGGATTGTGATATTTTCCTGTTGGACAAGGCCTTTTATCATTATATAATGTCCTTGTTTGTCTTTTTTAACTGCTATTGCTTTAAAGTTTGCCATGTCTGATATAAGACCAGCTACTCCTACGCGCTTTTGTTGTCCCTTTGCCTGGAATGTCTTTTTCTACCCCTTTACCTTAAGTATGTGTGAGTCCTTATGTGTTAGGTGAGTCTCTTAAGGCAGCAGATAGTTGTTTGATGAATTCTTATCCATTCTGCAGTTCTGTGTCTTTTAAATGGAGCACTTAAGCCATTTACATTCAATGTTAGTATTGAGATGTGAGGTACCATTCCATTCATTGTACCATTTATTGCCTGTATACCTTGGTTTTTTGTTTTTGTTTTTTAAATTGTATTTTTCTTTTATAGATCCTATGAAATTTATGCTTTAAAGAAGTTCTGTCTTGATGCGTTTCCAGGATTTTTTCAAGATTTAGAGCTCTTTTTAGCAGTTCTTGTAGTGGTGGCTTGGTAGTGGTGAATTCTCTCAGCATTTGTTCATCTGAAAAAAAATCTGTATCTTTCCTTCACTTATGAAGCTTAGTTTCACTGGATACAAAATTATTGGCTGTTAATTGTTTTGTTTGAGGAGGCTGAAGATAGGGCCTCAGTCCCTTCTAGCTTTTAGGGTTTCTGCTGAGAAATCTGCTGTTAATCTGATAGGTTATTCTCATGGGTTATCTGGTGCTTTTGTCTCACAGCTCTTAAGATTCTTTCCTTCATCTTAACTTTAGATAATCTGATGATAATGTGCCTAGGTGTGATGAATTTCCCAGGTGTTCTTTATACTTCTTGTATTTGGATGTCTAGGTCTCCAGCAGGGTCTGGAGAGTTTTCCTCAATTATTCTCCCAAACATGTTTTCCAAACTTCTAGATTTCGCTTCTTCCTCAGGAACACTGATAATTCTTAAGTTTGGTTATTTAACATAATCCCAGGCTTCATTCATATTTTTAAATTCTTTTTTCTTTGTCTTTTTTGGATTAGGTTAATTCGAAGACCTTGTCTTTGACATCTGAATTCCTTTCTTTCACTTGTTCAATTCTATTGCTGAGACTTTCAAGAGCATTTTGCATTTCTATAAGTGTGTCCATTGTTTCGTGAAGTTTTGTTTTTTATTTATGCTATCTAGTTCCCTGAATATTTCTGCTTTCACATGTATCAGTTTTTGGATTTCCTTATATTGAGCTTTGCCTTTCTCTGATACTTCCCTAACTATAATAACCTCCTGAATATAATATTATACTTCCTGATTATAATAACCTTCCCTTAATAACTAACTTCCTGAATTCTTTTTAGGTGAATCATGGATTTCTTCTTGGTTTGGGTCCATTGCTAGTGAGCTAGTGTGATTTTTTTGAGCTGTTAAAAAACCTTATTTTGTCATATTACCAGAGTTGGTTTTCTAGTTCCTTCTTATTTGGGTAGTCTCTGTCAGAGGGAAGGTCTAGGGCTGAAGGCTAATATTCAGATTCTTTTATCCCATGGGGTGTTCTTCTGATGTAGCACTCTCCTCCCTTTCCTAAGGATATGGCTTCCTGAGAGCCGAGATGTAGTGATTGTTATCTCTCTTCTGAATCTAGCCACCCAGCAAGTCTATCAGGCTCTTGGCTGGTACTGGGGCTTGTCTGCACAAAGTCCTGTGATGTGAACTGTCTGTGGATCTCTCAGCCATAAATACCAGCACAGTATTTGGGGTGTCTCCTGGGTCCTGCAAGAGCAATCCACTTCCTTCAGGGGGTACATGGGTCCTCTCAGGTTTCCTGATTTATTCCTGCAGTCATTCTGGAGCAAAAATTCACATTGTGAGTTCCACATGCTGCTCTGTCCAACTGAGTTGGAGCTGCAATCTATTCCTGCCTCCTATCTGCAGATGACTTATTTTTCTATTTAGATGTCTTTTATTTATTTCTCTCATCTGATTGCCCTGGCTAAGACTTCCAGTACTGTGTTGAATCTTAGAACATTTTAATTCTAATTACATCACTCCTGGCTTACCTGCTCTGTCTTATATGTTATTATGTTATTGTTGTTATGTAATATAATTTCATTATTTTTGTTTAGCTCTATAAACTTTATCATTTTTATTTTATAAGAATCAGTGTTTTGTTTTCTATCACCTATCTACAATTTTCTTTTCTTCTTCTTCTTTTTTTTTTTCAGAATTTTTTATCCCTCTTTTTATTTCCAACTTTTAAGTTCAGTGATACATGTGCCAGATGTGCAGGTTTGTTATATAGGTAAACATGTGCCATGATGGTTTGCTGCACAGATCATCCCATCATCACCTAGGTATTAAGCCCAGCATCCATTAGTATTTTTCCTGATGCTCTCCCTCCTCCCACCCTCTACTCTTCAATAGGCCCCATGTGTGTTGCTCTTCTCCCTCATGTGTCCACATTTTCTCATCATTCAGCTCCCACTTTATAAATGAAAACATATGATATTTGGTTTCCTGTTCCTGTGCTGGTTTGCTGAGGATAATGACTTCCAGCTCCATCCATTTCCCTGCAAAGGACATAATCTTGTTCCTTTTTATGGCTGCATAGTATTCCATGGTGTATGTGTGCCACATTTTCTTTATCCAGTCTATCATTGATGGCGATTTAGGTTGATTCCATATCTTTGCTATTGTGAATAGTGCTGCAGTGAACATACATGTGCATGTATCTTTATAATAGAATGATTTATATCCCTTTGGGTACATATCCAATAATGGGATTGCTGGGTCCAATGGTATTTCTGCCTCTAGGTCTTTGAGGAATTGCCACACTGTCTTCCACAATGGTTGAACTAATATATACTTCTACCAACAGTGTAAAAGTATTCCATTTTCTGCCAGATGTGGTTGCTAACACTTGTAATCCCAGCACTTTGGGGGGCCAAGGTGGGTGGATCACCTGAGGTCAGGAGTTCGAGAGCAGCCTGGCCAACATGGTGAAACCTTGTGTCAACTAAAAATATAAAAATTAGCCTGGAATGGTGGTGGATGCCTGTAATCCCAGCTATGCAGGAGGTTGAGGCGTGAGAACCACTTGAACCTGGGAGGCAGAGGTTGCAGTGAGCCAAGATCATGCCACTGCACTCTAGCCTAGGTGACAGAGCAAGACTCCATTGAAAAAAATACTTCCTTTTTTTCCACCCACTCGTCAGCATCTGTTGCTTTTTCACTTTTTAGTAATAGCCATTCTGACTGACAAGAGATGGCTCTCATTATGGTTTTGATTTTCATTTCTCTAATAATCCGTGATGCTGAGCTTTTTTCCATGTTTGTTGACTGAATATATGTCTCAAAAGAATGTCTACTTTTGAGAAGTGTCTGTTCATGTCCTTTGCCCACTTTATAATGGGGTTGTTTGTTTTTTTCTTGTAAATTTGTTTAAGTTCCATGTAGATTCTGCATATTAGACCTTTGTCAGATGCGTAGATTGCAAAAATTTTCTCCCGTTTTGTAGGTTGTCTATTCACTCTGATAACATATCTACAATTTTCTTTGCATGTCAGACTTTCCACCTGAGATTACTTTCCTTCTCCCTGAAGTGCATACATAGAATTTTCTTTAATGAGAATTTGTTGGTAGTAAACTTTCTAATTTTCCTTCCCACCGCCCCCCCTCCAAATTATATTGATTTTCCCCTTGGTCTCTAAAGATATTTTTCTTGGATACATAATTCTAGACTAATAATTATTTTCTGTGAATAATATATGTTCTTTGTCTTCTGGTTTTAGTTGTTGAAAATTTAGCTATCAGTTGTTTTTCCTTTAAAGGTAATATGACTTTTCTCTCTAGTTGCATTTAAGATCATTTTGTCTTTTGTGTTTTGCCATTACTATGATATGTGTAAGTATGGATTTATTTTCCCACTTGGGAACTTTTTGGCCTTTATACGTTTGTGGATTGTTGTCTATCATAAATGTTGAAAAGTTCTCAGCCATTATTTCTTCAGTAATTGCCTCATCCTGTTTTCTCTCTTCTGTCCTTCTGTCATCTGATTACATGTGTTTTAGACCTTCTTCCTCAATGCTTTATGTCTCTTAACTTTCTTTTATACTTTCTATCTCTTTTTCTCTTTCTGCTTTACTCTGGGTAATTGAGCTCTACCTTCCAGGTCACCAATTCTCTGTTTAGCAGCCTTTAATCTGCTATAGAATTTATTCATTAAGTTTTAAATTTCAATTATTATATATTTAG